AATCACTTAAAGGTGTGAGCAACATGAGGAAGGCACCATTTGTGATCACCACCTGCACTCTCGCCACCATACACATGGTGCCATTGTTTCACTTACCACTATGGAGTACCATATTTTGTTCACGATCAGTAAATGAATAGCTGGATCTAGGAATGAAGTCATTAAATGGAACACCAGTCACTGTCCTGGGTGCTGAGTCAGTTCGCTGTGCACTTTGTTTGGTGCTGATGGTCTAGTGAAGAACTCGGATAGTGGACACATAAATACATTTTCAAAAGTAAGCAAAGTCAAGCTTACTGCAAATTAAGTGCCTTGAAGACAGTCACGCTGGGTAATGGGGCAGGAAGTGACTGAGTGAGGATGTCAGAGTGGTCAGAAAAGGCCTCCTTAAAGAGGTGACACCGGAGGTGGGACAGCAGACATAAGGAAAGTCTGCCAGAGAGCATCTGCTGCGAGCGCCTTCTAGTCTAACAGTACAAAGAAGGAATGAGAGACTGCACAGTTTGATTTGTAAGTAAGTAACTGCAATCTTGTGTGACTCTGAGATAATGAGCATGAGAAGAGGCAGACAGGATGAGATGAGTGTAAGAAGAGGTGAGAGTTTTGAAGAAATCTTTTTCCTCATGATCATTCACCTTGAAATTGTACTCATTAGACAGAGCAAGTCCTGCAATTTGCAGGAGGAGTCCTGTAACAGTCAGGGGAAAATAGTGTCCTTCTAGATTTCTACTCAAACACAATTATAAGTAGGTACTACAAATCATCCGAGGTCTGACGTTTAACTCTGCTCTAGAGGTATATTTTAACCAACCCATATATTTCAATTTTGAAAACTGGAGAAGCCAGCCAAGATTCCAACCTCAAGAACCAACCCCTTCAACCTCTATAGAGAGGCCAGCTCAGAAGTCCCCGCAGACAGGAACAAGATTTTCCTAAGAAAGCAGTTCTTAAAAATGATGGAAAGGCGGTGTGGTAAGTGCTACGATAAATCAAATCTGAAATGTTGTACAAGCAGTGTGCTGGGTCAGCTAGTGACCCCGAGGAACTTTGAGGAACACTTCGCAGATGAAATAATCCTTGCCCTGAATCTGGAGGATGAAAGTTTGCTCGTCAGAGAAAGGGCAGACTGGCGACTGCACAACGGTACTGCAGGGATCCACTCCTGCCTTAGTTTAAAATAGAAACTGCACTTTAGGTCAGCTCCTGTGGACTTTCTCACTTACAGTACAAGCTTTCCAGTTGCACTAAGAAGGAAACGTAACAGTTTGTTCTAAATATTCTGAGATTTGCTTAAAAATAGAGGCACAATTGATTACATGATAAAGACCTATAGTGAGCATACAACGTTGGGAAAGTCTTGGCCTGGTTTCTGAACACCCACTTGATTCCAGATGGTTTCCTCCCAGAGAAAGGTTTCTGACACAACAGGTCCTAAGCAGATAAGGTCTCAGTGAGAAAGTCTCTGAAGGCCCTCAGCACTCAGTCACTAAAGTGAAAAGAAAGAAAAGGACAAGGACAGAATCAATGAGGAGACCCATAGGAACTGATTTAGGGCAATAAGCAGCTTGCAAAGAAGCAGTATAAATTCAAGGCCCCACTTGATTTGAAATGGCATATTCCAGTGAGAAAAGCCAATGAAATACTTTGCAACACCCATGCGCTATCCACCCTGAAAACAGTTGCCATGCTACAGGTGAATTTCAGGTGTCGAGAGTCTGAATACCACCCTGTGGTGCACATGGCAGTCTGCTTCTTTGCCTGTCTCCCATTTTGCTTTCTAGGAGCAGCAATGGATGCACTTCTTTCCCTTTCATATCCCCAAGTCCTCCTTCCCCTCCTTGTGTAAACTGGCAGAAGAATTCGAACTTCCACCTGACTCAGACCTTGCATCCTGGAGCTGCAGAACCCCGGACCCACCAAAACCTGACTACAAAACAGCTTTGGGCAACTGCAGCTCCATCCTCAGAGGCACTAGATTTCAGACTCCCAAGAAAGCTGCAAGGAATTAAGAGCTGCTTTGAGCAGGATCCATGATGTTAATATCATGAGCTGAAAAGGCCAAGACCAGGAGCATTCTGAGCTATCCACACATAGCTATAAAACACCAGAATAAGGGCTGGGGGTTTACCTCAGTGGCACAGCGCCTGCCTGGCAAGCACAAGGTCATGAGTTCAATTCCCTGTACCAGAAACCCCCAGCCCCCAAAAAATAAAACACCAGAACAAGAAGCCCAACTTTTAGCCCTTGGCCTGCCCGTAGGCTCTGCAGTTCAGGGAGACTTCCCCTTGCAACTCTATCTCCTGGGAGGCCGTCTTGGTGAGCAGAGGCTGCTCCATATTTAAGAGCTTCACAGAAGTCTTGTCTAGGAACTCCCATTTGCCTCTCACTGGAAAGATCTGTCATGTGCTGGGAAATAAGTTGTGTTTCTCAAGTCTGAACAGGAATGCAATTCCTGTCAGAACAGGAATGCAATCAGGATTGTAAGGAAAAGAAGAGAATTTAAAAGTCTGACGTACAAAGAGTTGGTGAGGAGAAGCTGAGACCCCCCTCATGGATCATTAGTAGGAAGATAAGATGAGACAAACACTTGTAGCAAAGGTTGGCAACAAGCTTAACCCTATAGCTACCATGTGAGCCAGCAATTACATTCTTAAAATTTACCAGGGCCAGATGGAAGCATAGAACCACAGAGTGACTTGCATATGAAGATTTGTAGCACCTTTGTTTATAACAGCCAATCCTGGAAACATTCCAAATGTCTATGGATATGTGAGAGAATAAGGCAATGATGCAATCTGTACTCTCAATAATAAAATAATAGCTGTAAACATGGAATGAATTTCTGATTCACGTAAAACACAGATGAACCCCAAAGAACTTGTAGCATGAAAGAAGCTAGACACAGATGTTATACGGTTCTGCTTGTGTGATTTTCTAGGAAAAATAAATCTAATTTAGCTAAAAGGGAAACAAATAAGTGTTTGCCTGTGATAAGCATTTTTGTGTGTGTCCACTAAGAAGGAGATGAATGAAGGAACTTTGGGTGATGACGGAGATGTTCTACATCCTGATTATGATGGCGACCTTAGTGTGCAGATTTACATATATTTCTCCAAATACATCAAGCCATACATAGAAGATGTGTATTCTTACTGTATATAAATTATCAATCCATAAAGTTGGTTTAAAATACTCCATGCATTTGATAAACCAAAAATACAAAATACTTGAATTTACCCAATATGACTATCAACAACACTTCTACCACAGCCCAACTCAAAGATCATCTTCTGTCTGGACAATGCAGAAGCCCTCAGCCACTGTCTACTTCCAGTTTTGGGTCCAGAGTATGTGAGCTGTCATACTGACACAGGAGAAATGTGACTCCCAACCTGCTAGATGCCACATATGCCGAATTCGTGTCTCCTGAAATAAAAGAATGAATTCCAAGGAACAGTGGAGGTTCGGAGTAGGAAAAATGGGGAGATGGCTCCTGGGAGACAGGAAGAAACAGGAAAGTCAGTTGCCACAAAGGTCATTTCTCTAAGAATGTGTTACAGAGCAAAATCACAAGGTGGGTACAAAGTCACGAAGTGGGACAACATGGGTCAAACTATAATCAACCAATAAGATTACAAGATATCTGTTTACTTAATATTAATCCTGTAGTGATGGGGTGACATAGCAAGGGTACATGCAGAAAAGAAAGGCACGTTTGGGGAAGAGATGGTTCAGTGCTGTGGTCAGCTACCTGGGTGATCAATTCCTAGCTGGACTGCCTGGGCCAGGTGGGGCTAATTATAGTATAATTCCAAGTTACTGCTCATCCCTTAGGGAGGCATGTAGTATAATTCCCAGTTATTTCTCATTCCTTAGGGAGGCACGGTCATTGCGTCTTTATCTTGAGGCCTGGCTTTCTTCAGCTGCCCTCCAGACACAATTCTGGTGTCTAATTTTCACTGACTTCCTTAAGAGCCAGTCCCTGTCTGACTGCATATTAATTTCTATCTACCTTAGCTGCCTACAATGAAATCAGATAAAGTGAATACTTAGAAAAAGGTAGAACTGCTCCTGTTACTCCTGTGCTTAAAATCCCCCACAGTTAGAGCAAAATTTGGAGTTCTTGCCTTGGTACATGATACAAGATTAAGTTCAGCTGTGAGTCACAGAAAGACCTGGAATTGTCACTTTAAAAGAACAGACGTTTGTTTCTTTTTCAAGCCAGTACAGTTTAGAGATGACATAGTCAACTATTAGACTAGTATTCTAGGTTAAAGCTGAGGCTTCAATAGAGACTCAGAACCTTTTCTCTTGTTGCTCCACTGTGCAAAAAGTGAAGTCAGCAGAGGGTCTAAGCTAGATTCTGGGGTTCCAGCCATTACATCTACATTCAGCCCCTGGGAACAAGAGGAACATAACTGCCCCAAGCCCATTAAGAACACATCAACAGGCAGGCATGGTGCGCAGGCCTGTAATCCCAGCACCCAGTGACACTGGGGCAGGAGGATCGCAAGTTCCAGTCCAGCCCGCACAATTTAGGGACTTAGCCAGCTCCTTCTCCCCGCCTCCTCCACCCCGGAGCATCACGGCTGCACCTCGCAGGAGGGGACCGTGACCCCGTTGTCCATCCACGTCCCCTGCAGCTGTACCAGGACCAGGCGACCTAGTCGCACCCCACCGCTCCCCGAGGAGCCGCCCATAGCCAACCTGCTCCCGCGCACCGGGGATCCGGAGGCCTGGACCTGCGCCACCCTCTCCGCTGGCGCAAGAACTGGAACATATGCCCAACACTTCGGGGTAGAGAGGCTGCCTCTCAGGCCCCGCCCCAGCTTACCTGTATCCCTCTCACCTGTGCCCTGCCCTCAGCCTAGCCGGGATCCAGCCTACCTGCGCCCTGAGCCAACCCACATGACCAGCCCACCTACGCCCAGCCCACAGGGGCCCCTCCCCGCAGCTCTTCTCACCTGCCCGGCCGGCGCTCGCGGCTGCTCCTCGCCGGCCCCTCAGCAGTGCCAACCGCCCCTCCGCGCCGCTGCCCCTGGGTCCGGCACCCGCCCTTTCCCGGGTAAGGATTTTTCCCCGCGTCCCGCCCCACAACTCCGGCGGCACAGAGGGTGGGCCGAGGAGGGGCACGCCCGGTTCGGTCCCGCCCGGGTCAGAAGGGTTCCGGAGGAGTCCTGCGCTGGCTTCCTTAGCCATCTGCGGAGGCTTCTCCCCAGCTCGCTGCTGGGGGACGCTCGGTCCTCGGAGCCCGCGGGCGTGCGCCGCGCTTCTGCTCCAACTTTCAGTCGGAGGACAGCAGAGGGTAAGAGGTCCGTGGGGCTTCGTAGGGAACCACCTGCACTTACACTTTTTCCCGATACAGCACGATCAAGTTAACCTAGATGCGAGGGATTTTTTCTACATACCTACATTCCTAAGTGGGGGAAAAACAAGATTTTATATATATATATATATATATAGAGAGAGAGAGAGAGAGGGAGGGAGAGACGGAGAGGGAGAGATGACAGTGATGGAGGAGACATTTCTGTTCTTCAGTCTGCGCTCTCTCCTCTATGCTCTCGGAGGGCTTGCACTGTCTGCTCGGGAAAGCAGGTGGGAATCCTCCAAATGCTCGTCCCGGCAGGCGCCGTGTTTTCCTGCAGAACCCCGCCAGGGAGATCTGGACTTCTGCACGAGCGCATGCATGCAGGGACACACACACACACACACACACACACACACACACACACACACACACACGGGAGCGTGGTTTCTGGGAGACTTCCCAGCGCCTTGTCTGACATCCTCAGCTCCTCCCATCTACCTGGTGCCAGCGCAGATGCTCCAACAAGGGCCCTGCGAGAGGCTGAGGCCCCTGAGCCTGGGATTCTGATCCTTTCCCAGGGTCTCACAGGAGGGAAGTCAGCTGATGGGAACCCCGAACCCTGCAAGAAAAGGTCCTTCCCTGTCGTGCAGGGCCTGCAGCCCCCACCTACCTGCCCCTCTGCACCTAGCAGAGCCTTGCCTCACAAAGCAAGCCCTACTTCTCACGCTGACCCTTAATCCTGGTCACTGGAGAGCCACAGAGTGTGTCCTGAGGCTCCGTGGGTTGACACAGCCAGGCAGAAACCTGATCAAAGGAGAAGTGACAACAGAGACGCAGATGAGCTCTGATCTGTGTATTCTTCCTGGTTCTGGATGTGCGGTGGAGGTGGGAAGCAATTCTAAGATCTGAGCAGCGATTTGCAGGCCCTTCCCTGATCAGCAGGGGCCGAGATTCAGAAAGGAAGACACCCAGGAAGCCAACCTAGCGGAAAGTCACTGTGAAGAGTCGAGGTCACTTTGAAACAGTGTCACTGATCTCCTGCATTGGCCATTGCTGCTTAAGGAGAAGAAAAAACAAAGATAGCTCAGATTCCTCCTGTGAGAGGTGAACCCTAAACAACAGTAGCATGCAGAGCAGTTGGTTCCAAAATCAGCAGCAGTTAGATATTCTCTCTTTTTTTTAATCACTGAGAAGACATATTTGATCCCCACTGGGTTCTTTACCGCTGACTTCACTGATGTACATGCATTCAAAGCCGTGATACCTCTAGGTGCTTTTTCTTCCATCACTTCTACAAGCAGTGGTTCTCTTCAGAGGAGTCCTTAAAGGAGCCAGAGGCTTCGCTTTGGTCTTGGTGGTACCTTGCTTCCGGCTAAAGTTTAAAACAATGGCGCTCAGGCTGAGTCAGGAAGGAATCTGAGGAGAGGGTGAGTTAGTGTCCTTTCCTCCCTTTCCTCTACAAGAGGAACTGCACGGGAGTTAATTACTGGGTCAGAGGTGACACCATTGTGTCAATTATGTTGAATCTGCAGAGCAGCCATGACTCCTGCAGAACAAAATAATTATTATAAGAATAGCAGTTGTACAGTTGTGAATACAGCCAATAATTCAGGGAATGGAAAGGGAAGGTAGAAGGTCTAGCAAGACCTCCAGAGATACTGGGCTGTGCATCAGGACACAGGAATCTCCAGGGCACACATTTCAGGGTGTATCCCAGAGAACTGTGGGAAGTTAGCACACCCAGCTACCAGAGTGGGTTAAGGGCAGGGTGATTCCCTGACAGTCACTCCTCTGTAGGTGCTGCTTTCTGGGTGTGCAGCCAAGCACCTAAGGGTGTGCTGGGGCTGCTGCTGGTCACAGGACGGGAAGTGGGATGAAGATTTGAGGACGTATCCCACAGAGAATGAGATTGCAAGTGGGGACATGTCTCAGTGTCTGTCATCATCTCTGCCCTCAGGAGTGAAGGCTGCTCCTTCACTCTGCTGCGGTGAGCTTGCACAGGGTCCTTTTCTACCAGGTCCAGCTGAACCCTTGCAGAGAAGGGGATTGTGGGAAATGCAGTCCCCTCTCCCGCCACTGACATAAACAGCCACCATTACCATGCAATCAAAACTGAGGGACATGAAAACTCCTGACACGTGAAGACCCCCTAAAAAGATGTCTGGCTTTTAAACAAATATGATCGGTATGTGATGAATTTTAATGATTAAATCACAGTGTGGAATAAGTCTACATTTCTGTACTTCTACTGAATTCTCAGAATGGTCTTTTAAGAGTCAAATGAGGTAAAAATTGATCAGTTCCAAAAGCACAGACCAGTGGCAGAGCACAGGCAGGGTACCAACCATCCAGCAAAATAAGTGTAGTGAGTAAATGAGAGGTTGGCTCCTGTAGGATGTCGAGGACCTTGTTTTCCATCAGGAAATATCTCTGCTGTCCCCTGTTGCCTTCTTGGGGACCTCTCACTTCATCTTTGTGAGATAGCTGGCTCTGCAAGCGTGTGACTCTCAGGGAGACAATAATTTGAAAAGATATGATTGTGTTGCCAACCGCCATGTGTTCAGCCTTAAAAAAAGAGCAGACATCGTAACTCTGCAGTGACCTGAGGGCGGGGTGAGAGCCGTCTGACAGATGCACCATTTTAGCTGCTCAAGGGGACCCAGGGTGGTCCTGTGTTTAAATCATACCAGAAGTCGTAACGTGGGGCCAAGTATGGCATTTCATGAGATAAGCAAAGTGAAAAACCATAGAACAGTCACAATTATTGGGATTCTTTCACTCAAAAACGTGGACATAATGGCTATAAAAATATCGAGAAGCCGGGAAATAGTCAAAAAAAAGACAGTTATTACTAGATGTGCAAATGGCAATATTTGGGCTTTTGAAAAAATGAGATGTGTTTTATTATACTATTCTTTAAAACAACAGTGAGAAGGGTTGGTTCTTATGTCTTTTTTTTATTAGCTGTCCAACACTGGTAAACACATATGATCCCTTTGGAGATCTCCTCACAATACCAAGACAGAATGCTATGACTACTACTTCCCAAAGCCATGAGCGCTCAGTGGCATAAATACATCACCCTTTAGGCCCAGTACAAAAAAACGCTCAGGAAATATTAGGCAGTGCTATCATTTCTCTAAGCACCGTTCTGCCTCATCCATTCTCTTCTTTTTTTTCTGGTCTTTTTGAGACAGGGTCTTACTATGCAGTTCAGGCTGGTCTTGAGCTCACTTTGTAGCCCAGACTGGCGTCGAATTTACAACAATCCTCCTGCCTCAGCCTCCAGAGTGCTGCTATTACAGGCTGCCCTACCACACCCAGCTCATTCTCTTCTTCAGAGGTGCAGAGGAACTGAGCACAAGCTCTATACCATCATGAGCATTTTCCTTAGATGTCAGAGGTGCACTCGGTAGGGTCCCCCTTGTCTTGGTCTTGTTCTCCGTCTGGGACACAGTACCCTACACCCACAATGTAAGGAGCAAAGAGTTATTTTGGGGCGTGATTTCACCACTTGCTGGCCATAGCTGTGTGGCTCCAGTGAAGAAACAGCACGGCAGAGGCAGACGGTGGAGGGAAAGCTGCCTACGGCATGGTAGCCAGGGGTCGGAGAGTGAAGGGAGGAATGGAGGAGGGATATTATTATGGTTTAGATCTAAACTGCACCCCTCCTCGGAATTCTCCTGTATGTGGAAAATCATTACATCTTGGGGACTCTGTACTATCCAGTGCACTAATCCACTGTTAAACCCACTGCTGCGTGTGCTGCGAGGAGGAGGTTGGATCTGCAAGAGCCCAATCACGGAGGGCAGCACCAGAAGGGTTCACCTCCCCGCTCAGCCGCTCCCTTCTTTCTCCGCCTTCTGGTCACCGTGCCTGGAGAGGCGCCCCTCGCCCACACCGTTCCACTGCGGCCTGCCTTCCTTAGAAAGTGCGCTCTACAGACTGAAAACATGAACCAAAAGAAATCTATTGTGGTGGACTGACAACTGGTGGTCAGCTTGTAACACCCAGCTGAACTGAGTAAGCGTGGTACTGGGTGTGGGAGGCCCACCTGAGGACTGTTGCCAGCAGCATAAGAGGCAGACCTGGAGAGGAAGAAGAGAGGCTGTTGGCAGCTGAGAGAGGTTGTTGGTAGCTGGTAGAAGCTGTAAGGAGCTGTTGGTTCTCTTGGAGGAGCTCGTCATGCTGGCTTTCCTGATGAACTTGGCTGTTTTCCTCCTCTGAGGAGCTTGGGACCTGGTTGGCACTGAGAATACCTTCGGTTCACTTTGGGCAAGCTCTGGTCCTCACTTTGAGCATCCCTGCCTGGCTCCAGCAGGGATGATGGTGGACTGCCAGTCTTCTGGAGAATCTTGTTGCATTGGATTTCCTGATGGGAACTCAGCTGTCCTGATCATCGGAGGAGCTCGGAACCTCACTGTTGCTGAGGATGCCTGTGGTCCTTTTCAGGGGAGCTCTGGTTCTTGCTTTCAGCATCAATTCCTGGCTACAGTTCAGACCCCTCAGCCTGCTAGCACAGATCCTTCATCCTGCTGGTACAGGCGTTCTAGATTCCACCACTGACCTTTGGACCTTCCCAGCACAGATTCGTTAAACAGGCCTGCATGAGACCTTGTCATGGGCTCTGGGCCCCCAGTTAGATTCATGGGAGGCGTTGTTATGGGCTCTAGATATTCAGCTGAACTCATGCAGGACATGATCACAGGATCCAGGCCCTCAGCTGAATTCCTGGTTTATAATATGTGGACAGATTCCCTGCACTCTCTTGGATATGTTTCTTTTGGTGACTATTATAAATAATCTTATAAAATGTGCCCTGTGTTATATTGTTCACCTTGCAATAAGCTCCAAACTACGACACCTCTCTTCCCTATACTGTGGGTATCAGATACTGTGTTTCAGGGATGTTCCAGAGACACACCCTTGTGGGGCCCCCCTCCAGTGACTGCCTCTTCTCACCGTACCCTCATACCCCCTCCTAATAGTACATCTAACTATGAGCTCATCAATGGCTGACTACTGACGACAGAACCCCTCATCCAATCACCACTCAAAGCCCACCTCCAAACCCACAGGGCTCTGGAGGCCACGGTAGATATAAACCAGAGCATCCATAGAAGAGACAACTGAGAAACAATGGATCAGAACAGAGGGGCAGAGAGCTGGACCTTCTTCCAACATGATGCAGAGCTGTTCCCATGACAGGAGAGATGGTAAGACAGGAGGCTGAGCAAAGCCCATCTCAGCCAGGTGGGCAGGGAATCCTCAAGCCAGAGTCCCCACTAGAAGACTCTTTGCTCAAGGAAAGGGGCCTGGCTCAGTCGTAGTCTGCAAGGAGACCCAGGAAAGACAGTCTCTGCAGACACATGGTGTGCACTAAAGAGGGCAGTGACCCAGGCTTAGGCTGAGGAGGTGACCTTGGCAGCTGACCTGAGCGGAGCATGTCCAGACCACACTGCTCAGCCACCGTACGCCTGTCCAGCAAGCAGCTTCTCTGGGGTCCTCAGGGCACCACGTCCCAAGATGAGTGACACAAACTGCTTCCCACTTCCGGGGAGGGCCTCAGGCTCTCAGTTCTCACCGTGTATCCCGACCGACCGACCTCCCTCTGTGCTCAGAAGGGGAGACCTTGTGGTCAGATCTGAGTCAGTATGCACTACCCAGTTAAAAATGGGGCCAGGAAGAGAAATGGGTGATTGTCCTAAGTCCCATGTGTACTTTTTCTTACCCTCATTTACAGGAGCAGCCTTGCCTCTTCCCACCAACCAGTCAGCTTCTTCCACCAGCATGACTTTTCTTACCTCATGGTCTGTGTACACAAAGGCCCCACAGTGATCTGGTGGCAGCTGCACCTTCTAGTTCCACGGAACACCTACTGCACTTGCTGGGCAGACATAGGAGGAAGTCGGGGCTGCAGACTGATACAAGCATGCTGAGACCCAGGAGTGTTAGCAGGGGGCATCTCTTCCGGCCACATGTCAGCGTCCTCTGTCCTGCTCAAGATCAGGACCAGATGAAGCGTTTACTTCTAACAAAGAGTGTTGCTGGGCCCATCTGATCTGGACACTCTGCAACTTTGATGAAGCCCAGCTGACATGGGAAGTCCCAGACACATAGATAGTCACCTCTTTCTGGTGGTTATGTGCTCCATATCTCCCCGGGCCCAATACAAGCTATGTCTTTACAACTGTCAGTGTGCTGCTTAGGCAACGTGGCTTTGTCTAGAATCCCAAGGGTGCATGTTCTGAGTATCCCACAGAGACTTCCATAAGCTTTGTGCTGCAACTTTATCCCCCCGACACCTGCTGCTCTACAGAGTCAGCCTGGTGCTTTCTCTCTGCCCACCAGCACTGATTGCACCCAACCCTGGCATACCTGCAGTGCCCTCTCCTGTCAGCCCTACCTGGTGCTGGCAGCTCTGCATGTCACAAGGCATGTGAGCTAGAGCAATACTCCCGAGTGTGAAATGCATTTCCCATGGACCCCAAGAACCCCGCTAGACGATGTGCTCTTCATCTACTGGGTTAGAAATGTGCTGTCAGTGCAGAGAAGGTGTCCTGCAAGCCCGTGACATCACTAAAGTGGGTCCCCACATCTTCACATCTGCTGGGGCAGAGAGGTCTCCTCAAGGATCCAGTACCCAATGTATCTTTTGCTCACCCTGTCCAGCTGCAATGATGCTGTCAGGGCAATGGGTTAATGACTGGCAGACACAAGGGTCCAGATATCCATGGTTTATGGAGCCTACTGACTGGGGCCAAGACCACGCTGTATGTGAGTGGATATGGTTGTTTATCTCACCCAAATATTTATGTGTGTGTTCATATGCATGTGCAGCCATGTGTGTATTTTAACCATCATGTAAAATCGACTGAAGATGTAACATCTGACACAGCAGGAGAATCCCTGCTTCCTTGGGGACTTGTAGCTTTACCTCTCTGTGTTGCCACGCTGCTTCCCAAACTGGTTGTACCATTGGGCAAGTTGCATCTGAGGTCAGAAGGCCTCTCAGCTTTCTGAAGCAAGAGGCCATCCCAGAAACTTGTCCTTGTTCAACTCATTTAGGGGTGACATAGTCCTGGCTTGATTTCACAGCCTCACAGTTGGTATTTTGTTTTGCAGAGAAATCCTCCTCTTTATGGCTCACCATTTAATTTCCCTGCTGTCAAGAGCCAGAATTAAGTTATTCCTCTTTTTAAAAGAATGATATAAGCAGGGAATAATGAATGCAAAATGCTGTAGTTAAACATCAGCAGACAAACTGATGGATCGGCTGTCACTTAGATTATGCTATAAATGGAAAGAAAGTGATATTTAATCATTTGCAAAAAATAAAAACAGTGGTGATGGATTTGGTGTACTTGGACTCTGAGTGACTCATTATGGCAAATTGTTATTTTCCAGTTAATAGAGGGAATAAAAAGGGCAAGGCAGGGGAATGTCATCGCTTTCAAGAGCACACCACGTCTCCTGAACTGTTTAAATGTATGAAACATTACCACCTAACCCATGTGAGCTGAATTGTTCTTCCCAAAATTCATGAGTTGAAGTCCTCACCATAAATGTCCAAGAATGGGATCGTCTCTGGAGATAGGCATCCACATTGGTAATTAAGGTAAATTAAGGTTGTTTTGGTGGCCCTAATCCAATCTACTTGGTGTCCTTGGAAGATGGGATTAAGACACACACACACACACACACACACACACACACACACACACACAGGGGCAGCCATGTGAGGACACCAGGACAGAACCCCATCCTCAAACCATGGAGAGGAGATTCTAAAGGAATCAACTTGTCCACAACTTGATCTTGGCCTTTGAACTTTTTGAGTGTGAGACAATAAATTTTCACTTCCCAAGCCCTACTCCACTCCCTACTGTAAGATACTTTGTTATGGCAGCCTGAGCAAGCAATTGCTGTCTCCTTAAAAATGCAAAGGAGCGTTAGCTGGCATTGGCTGGGAAGTGTGCACCAGTGCTTGTGTGTGTGCGCTGTTTTTATGGGGGGGGTGAATTTGTCTTGACCACTTATTGGCTATGTGTCCTCAAACAAGCTGCTTCAACTCCTGTGCCTCAGGGTCCTCGCCTGTAAAATAGAGCTAATATTGAACAAATCTCCAACAGCTTCTATGGCTGCCATAACTAATGACCACAGATGCTATGGCCTAAATCAACAGAAACTCACTGTGCAACTTCTGGAAGGAAGAAGCTTAACACTAGACTCACTATGTGGCAACAGAGGCAGTGATCTCTCCAAAGGCTCTGGGGGAGACTCTGCTCTTTACCTCTTCCTGCTTGCGATGACTTGGGTGTGTCTGGCTTTGTGGCCACACTGCCTCAGCTGCCCTACACTTCAAATCTCCCTTCCACTCTCCCTCTCTTCCAAGGACATTAGGGATAGCAACTAGGGCTGTACTGGTTTCTTGTCGCTGTGCACTAGTCAGTTTTCCTTTACTGTCACAGAATAAGTGAGACAGTCAACTTAAAGAAGAGATAAAGTTCACTGTATTTCAATGTGTTTGGAAGTTTCAGTCCATGGTCAGGTTGCCTTGTTGCTTGGGCCTGTGGTCAGGCAGCACATCATGGCAGGAACATGGTGAGGAAGAGGCGGCTCACATCATGGTAACCAGGAAGCAGAGAGGGAGAGAGAGGAGAGAGAGAGGAAGACTGGGGGAAGGAGAGAGAAAAGGAGAGACACAGAGTGAGAAGGACAGACGGAGAAGAAAGAAATAAAGGGAGAGGGAGAGAGAGAACAGTGATAAGTGACCGAGGCCCAATAATCTTTTTTGATTTAAGATCCAAAACCTCCCCCAGCCCCGTCTCCCAAGGCTGCCATGCCTTTTCCATAGTACCAAAGGTTGCAGATGATGCTTTCAATTCATGGGCCTTTGGGAGACATCCCACATCAGTCCACAACAAGCTGCCATGCAAACTGCCAGAAACTCAGTAGTGTGAAACAAGATAAATTCATTCCCTCACAGCTCCGGAGTGCACCAGTGTGTGACCAGGATGCTGCTAGGATTCTAGCCCCTTCGTGGTAATCCCAGATGAAACCATCCCCAGGCACTTCACTTATTTACATCTATGAAAACCCTAAAGAAAGTCACTGTCACTGGTTTCTGGAAATGGCTGGGGAATCACTGTCAGCCTGTCGTGTTACCTAATAGAGCTTTGTGGAGATTCAGCTATTTTATCTGTTCACAATAGTGCCTGGGACAGAGTAAGTGACTGAATAAGTATCAACTGAATCAATATCGTTATAATCCACCTCTCTACCCAAAGAGGGAGGGGACAGGGAATGATGGGGTTTAAGCTAAATTAGAAACCCCTTTTTGTAACAAGGAATACCATTCCTGACATGCCAATAAAAGTTTTTCCTGTTGAAGGAGTAATTACTCAGTTGTTAGACATGCACTGTGGTGACAAACACACAGCAAACACATGATGATAACTGAAGAGGCTTGGCTTTGAACAGAGATTCTCTCTAGAGGTGAGTAGGGTGACTTCTGCTCTTGTAAAAATGCATGGTGTGTTATGCTGGCAGCCAGGCTCTCTCACTGAAGGTGTTTGCTGATTCACCGCTGCATTTGAGTCTTCCAAAGAAAGGGTCAGAAAAGGCCTCACTGCTTGGGTGCGGTGGGAACGACCTTCCTAAGAGACAGATGTGTGGCCTGGGGCTTGAAGGCAGAGAGCTAAATCTAGTGGTTGCTCTTGCTTCTCCACTCAATTGTATGGATTTACTCAGCAAACAGACTCTCATCTGCTTCTGTAAAATTGCGATTTGGTTGCTGAATCACCATGGACACTAAATTAATTAATACATGAAAACAAAATGAGTCTTTGTAAATGTTGTTCTTTCTTTAATGTTACTACATACTGACACATTAAAATTTTATCTGTTTATGGGGTACAAAGTGAGGCTATGTGAATACAATGAGGAATGTGGGATGAGCGTGTATTTATCATTTTTTCCTCCTGCATAACTGAAACATCAGATTCATTGGCCAACACCTCCCTGCCCCACACTTTGGTAACCAGGATCCTACTCTGTTTCTATGACTTTGGCTGTGACCCAGTTAAGGAATCATCTTCAGTGTCTGTCAGTGAAGGAATAAAGAAAATGTTGCATATATGCACGTGTAATATATTCCGAATTATAAAACAGAGAGCTTCTGTCATAGCAACAGGATTGAACCTGGAAGATGATACCCTAAGCAAGCACAGACAGAGAAGCATTGCACGTTCCAACATGTACATGGAATCTAAAATACATAGCCCTTAATGGTTTCTGCCCTCAGCTGAAACTTACCCTAAAGACTTTAAAGGTCCTTGAATCCACATATAGCCTTTTGTTTTTATTTTCAGTGTCTTCCTCCACCATGAAGGCAAAACTGATTGTTCCACCTGAAGACATAAAATTAGGTGAATGGAAATAGAACCTCAAAGAGAATTTCAAGCTGTATTTCGTTGCTTTTCTCAGAAAGCCCTTTGAAGTATTGTTTTGCGTGCTCCAAAAGTAGCAGGAAATAAAAGCCTTGTCAAAGGTTCAGCTCATAGGCAAAGGGCCTGAAGTGAGCAAACTCCTCAATAAGTTCAGAGGGAAGTGAAGGCCAGGGGTCTGCTGAGGTACTTCAGTTCACCAGAGTGGAGGCCCTGAAGGTGCTTCTTCATGGGGCCTGAAGATCACACGTAAAAGCACACACACACTCTTGTCTTGCTCCCAGAGTGTTGTTTGTGAAAAATGGAAGTGCACAATTTTGCACAACATCTATAATTTAAGATGTGACAAATGCTGAGTGGACAAAATGAAGCAGTTCGAAGAGGAGGTACTGGCTGCTCACCTGCGTTTGGGAAGTCTTTGCCCCTGCCCAGCCCCTGTGCATCCCGAACTAGTAGGTAGTGTAGCTGTTCACCTTGCCAGAAAGAGGCCGGTCCTTTGTCTTGTGCTTTAGGGAGGTAATCTGAGTCACACCTGATAGAGTGTCTTTGCTCCGGACAGCAGCTAGTCATATAGTATTTTATGGTGGATCCAACAACATGTGACAGTTCTAGGGTGGAGACCCATCATGCAGAAAGACAAACCATGTGATTAGTGTAAGGTTTTTGGTCACATGGTAGCAGCCAAAATGGCCACTCAATCCTGACTGTGTAATGAAACCACAGTATAAACTCCAAATATTGAGGGCCCATGAGCTGTTGCTCTTGTAACACTCTTCATATTGTCACACATTGATGGTGTTATGGCAAAACTGGGGCTGTATTCTGCAAGAGACCAAAGAACTTTATGAGAACAGACAAAGTTTAAATTTAGACAGGTCACCTCTCATCCCAACTTGCAAGTCAGGGAAGTGGGCATGGACCTGCCTTTGTTCCTAGCTTATATACATTTCTGGTTTCCATGGTAATGGATTGGAATGTTGTAGCCCTATCCACGTGTTGTTTTCCTTGTGCCACATAACTGGGTCAGGCTCCAGTCATGAGCACAACCACAATGATACATACTTTCTGTACTCTATTTTATATGTCCCCCTTTAGATAACCATACATTTCCTTTATGGTTACAATGTTCATCTAGGGACAGAGAAAGGATGAAACAACCCAGGCAAGGCCATAGGTAGTTATCTAGGCTCTGGTGTTCTTTGTCTTCGGAGAAGCATTCCAAGGCTAAGTCAGGACTGCAAAGTTAACTCTTTACAACCCCTCCGAGATGCTTCTCAAGACACATTTTGAGATTTGTGTTAAGACTAGAGTTATTCTATCTTAAAATGATATGCTAAGAGTCTCCGTCCCCTACAGTGGAGGAGTCAAGTGTTGTGGATCCCCTGGAGAAGACAGTGGGATCATGCTAGGGACTCTCCGAGGATCTCTCCTAACCATGTCTTCCTAGACTGTTTTTGACTTTTGTTCCCATTGCAACAATGAAAAGAGCCTCAGGGAGTGTTTGGATTCTCCAAGCCAATTAGTGAGTCTGAGGATGGCTTGGAGAACTTCCCAAACTCGCAGTTAGTGTCAGAAGTGAAAGTGGTCAGTTCTGCATGCCCCTCAAATTTCAATTTTGGCTCTAAATTGGTGCTCAACTCTAGACATGAGCCAAGTGGTGGGTGCAGCTCTTCAGTTTCTCTTTATTCTAAGACACATTCATCCATATGTGGATAGCTGTGTTCTTCCTGAAGGTAGAAGTGGATGTTCATGGTTTAGAGATGATGCCCAAAGAGTCCCACACCGAGGGCACTTTCCTTGTTTATTCTGTGGATGAGTTCCTAACTGCAAGGGCTGTTAGAAGGGGGACCAGCTGAGAGAATTAGGTTACTGAGATCATTCCTTTGAAGGCTATATCCTG